GGAGCACCACAAACACAGTTTATTCATTTACATTGCAGCAGAACCTTTAACAGCAGACAACTCACAATATCTGCAAGTAAAACTGGAACCAACAGGTCAGGATTTGGGTGAAATAAACCTCTGAATAACTGTAGTTAACTCAGCCTGTAGCAACATTGAAAACGTGGATGATAATGAGATTAGGTGTGTGTGACTGTGTGTGTGAGGGTGTGTATTGAATGTAACACTCAGATGATGGCAGTAGTGATCTGTGTCAAATCATCTTTAGCCTCAGAGATTCAGCCGTTTCAGAAGCACATTTTTCTTGATATAAATAACCCTCAACAGCCTCCGAGAAGACCTGAGGACGGCACAGAGCGTTCATACATTCAAGAGCAAACTCAAGACCAAGACTAATTTGGCTTTTAGATTTATTTATTATAATTGTATTTATATTTTTATGTATTTATTTGTATTCAGTCCAGCGTCTATTGACTTCTTTCATTGACACAAAGTTAGCCTATATTTATTTATAACCTAGGAAAGGGGGAGGTTGTGAAACACTTCACGTATGTCAGTGCCTATATGAATACAGTTTGATTGACTGAATGATTGAACTTTGTGGTTTTAATTATTGTGCAAACATCCAGTGAGTGCAGGAAATCAGCAAAAGGTTGATTACGGTTTTGAAACGATATGTTCCCACGCTAACATGGTGCTGTTTGATTATGTGACTGCCCCACAGGGGAGGGGGGGCCGCGATAATAAAAGGGGGTTAGGATACTTAACGCTAACCTGGGTTCCCCAATACGAGCCCTTAGGACAAGTCACGCAGATAAGAATAAAAGGATGGACAGGGACGCGGCCTCAAGTTCAAATGTTTACAAAAGTTTATTATATAAATAATCAGGTAAAAGTTCAGTATTATAAAATGCAGATTAAAACTTATCCAGCTTCCCCAGTCGACACTAAGTCCCACGATTGAAGGCTGGCTCTGACAAGGAGAGAATAACTAGAAGAATTATAATATCACACATATAGTGATAGTTAAAAAGTGATTCTTCTGGCCAACTGCTGAGGGTTTCCCCAAAACCACAATATCACCACGTGTAGCTGTATTCAATTAACACTCACTGCAAATCACCCATATCTGCATGCTCCACTCCACAGTATGGCCCTGGATACACTGAAGATTACAAGTCCTAACAGCAGCTTCACATACCTCGTATAGGGGAAATAGACGCCTATCAGCACAAGAACACTCGTAATAGTCACAGCTGATTTGGGCGAGGTGTCAGTGGGCATTTAAAGTGTAGCGGGAGATGCTGAACTACGTACAGCTGCGGCGTTTTCCTTATATGGAAGGGCCAGCTGACTAAAGAAGGGGGGGGGGGGGTCTGACCAGGGGCGGTTCTAGGTACCCCCCCCCTAACACTGACCTCTGACCCCCCTGTGGCCCCCCTAAAAATGAAAAGTGAAAAAAATGAAAAATGTATGATTTATTACACGATTTATTGAATGACGGAATAGGCGGAACTAACGTTATTCGTCATTCTAGTGGGACCCATTAGAGCGGTGCACTCAGGACCCATTAGAGCGGTGCACTCACTTTCACTGTCCGGCTGAAGCGCGCAAAAAACAAACACTTTTCATCTCGGATCATCAGAGGCTGTTGCATCCAAGAAAGACTGATTGAAACCTACGTTTCGAGAGACTACCACGATAATTGAAGGTGAGTTAAACTATTGTATCCGTGTAATTGTAGATGTAAAGTAGAGATGTAACTGTTCATTGCCTTTATTTTTATATAAATATGATATGGTGTTATTGCAAAAATGGCACTATAACTTAAGCTGAAGCTAACAGCAATAACTATAAGATGTATCTGAAATAAATAAGTGTACTGAAACAAATACCAATAACTGTATTGCATTGTTTTCTTATGCGCAATTACTTCATACTGTCTAGTTCTCTTTTTCGTCCTGCATTTATTGTGCCCCCCTCAGAAAAGAACTGGCCCCCCAGTCAAATTGGTCTAGAACCGCCACTGGGTCTGACAGCTAATCCAGAAAACAGTAGCGCCGGCTACAATTACATATACTCCTGTGCAAATAGAGTATAAACTGTCAAACAAATGTTAAAAGTGTATTAAAAGTCTCTGAAGTGTTAGTAGTAGCCTTAAACAAAACTCAACTGAAGTATAAGTACCTCAAAGTACCAAGACTAAGGATAAATGCACTTTCCAACACTAAAAGCTCTTATGTGAGAAACTAAGAGAGCATTATTCACATTAATCTGTTGTTTTTGGTGAGTTTAATGTGGTTAGACCTCTTAATTCCTCGTATTCATTAACAAGAAATTGCATTAGTTGTTTGTGGGAGAGAACAAGCAAACAAGCAGTCATAAGACAAGCAGAGAAAACATGTTACACAACTCTAATCAAGATATATTTGTATCTGATTTATATCTGAGTTCTTCTTTTTTTATTGGCTGAGGACAGAGCTGAATGAAGATCCTGTTCTCTCGCTTAACCCATGGTGTTCGGGACTGTGGGACATTATTTAGCCAAAGAAAAACTCAGTGTGTGTGTGTGTGTGTGTGTGTGTGTGTGTGTGTGTGTGTGTGTGTGTGTGTGTGTGTGTGTGTGTGTGTGTGTGTGTGTGTGTGCCCCTGCCATTCCCGCACAAGGTTGCAACATTGTTGATCAAGTCAAGCTCAGACACCTGTCTGCTCTCATATTCTCGCATTATGTCTTGCGGGAACCAATCTTAATTGTGTGTTCACTTCACACTCTATCCCAGCTGCAAATTTGGGGCGAGACACAATAAATAAAGCTTCACCAGTTTGGGTCCTTAACACAACTGATCAAGATGGCCAAAAGATTCTCTGCTCAGAGGGCCTTGCAAATGATTCTGGAATAGAGAGAACCATTTGATGACGATGTAGGAAGAGGCTTCAGAATGTGAAGATCACATTTCTGAGAATTCTGAGTCCGACTGTGACTCAGAATTCAGCGGGCAAAAACACAAGTAGCACTTTAATTCATTAATGTGATCTAACAAATGTAAAAGGGCAAATATTAGCCATATATGCTGTTTATATTGCTTGTAATTGAGATGAAGTAAACATCTGTTGAGTATTTTAACATAAAATAGTTTGATTGTGTTGAATTGAAGCCCAAAAAGGCAGAGGGTCCACCAGACCCACGAACACTGGCTGAGTAACAAAAATATCAAAAACATACAAGGGCTGTGATGCCCCTGTGGGTCCATCAGTAGAGAGGGTATGGCTGTTCTGTCTGTGCTGCATTGGCTCCAGTGATTGCAGTGATTGCAGTAACTCAGGGCACCTGGGTCTGGTGTCCTGCAGCTATTTAAAGCCTCTCTGCTCCTCTCTGCTCTCCCCTGCAGACACATGGGTTTGGGTTGAGTATGAAGTATGGGTTTTCTCAGTTACTCCACATTGTTGCACTCTATGAATTTGGCAAATTTGAATTACTTTCTTTAATAAACATATTTTTCTACCCGTTGACTTGTTGTCTCCTCTTTGTTGTGGCCTTCTGAGCCAGGTTGCAACAAGGGGTAATGGAGTTTCACCCTTGTTGAAATCAAGAATAACCACACAAGGCTTCCCGTCACATGCCTCCAATTTACATTCATTAGCACACAATGTCAACTTAAATGGCACAAATGTTCTTTTCTCCTATGTAAATGACCACCGAGGAGTCATCGCATATTATCTGTTTACCCTCTTCTTCCTTAGCTCAGTGATCATGGTTTATGCCAGGCTTTGGGAGTAATGGATTACATGTAACAGGATGCCTGAATTTGCTTCATGAAAGGCAGGTTTTACTATAAATAAAATCATTTTTGACACGAAGTATCTTGGTTTCTTCTTTTCTAAGCTCACGTTGTTCTGTTGTCTTACATATACACTTAAATAAAAACATCTTACTGATATATCTTTTATCTTGTATTGATCATTACATTATCAGGTTACATTACTTTTATATGTTGATACTCAAATTAGGTGAATTTAACTGCGCCTAACGAGTACTTTTACTTAGAATTTCACTTATATTTTGATGCCAATACTGTTGTACTCTTACTAAAGTTAGACTTTGAACGCAGGACTTTGACTTGTAACAGAGTATATTTTTACAATAAGCAATTCATTGGACTACTTCTTCCACATCATACCCATTCATGCATGAAATGTCTATCTGACAAGTAGCTCAATACTTTAATTGATTACCAATATTTTGTATTAAAGGAGTGATTGACGACGTTAACCCATGATGCACAAAATCTGCATGATAGTGACAGGACTATCAGTGAGCATACACAACAGCCTTTTAATAAGCAAAAATAAATAAGTATTCATGTAGAAAAGAAAGAAGCAATGTGCTTATATTGTTCTTCCTGGATAAATAAAGGTTCTACTACTACTACCCCAAATAAGATTACAACATAATGAATCCAAACAACACAAAGGAAATACAAGTCATTATTTGAAAGTTGATAATTTTGTTGAAAGTTTGAGTTGAAAAGGCAAAGTTTGAGTTGAAAAGGCAAAGTTTGAGTTGAAAAGGCAAAGTTTGAGTTGAAAAGGCAAAGTTTGAGTTGAAAAGGCACCATCCACTTATTTTAAGCTGAAATCAGAAAATATTGTTTTATCAAAAAAGGTACATTTATTTTTTGTTATAGGACCCCAATTTGATTAACAATGGAAAACTGGGGTTCTCTGTCAACTTAAACACCCCTGTGTGTGTGTGTGTGTGTGTGTGTGTGTGTGTGTGTGTGTGTGTGTGTGTGTGTGTGTGTGTGTGTGTGTGTGTGTGTGTGTGTGTGTGTGTGTGAGTCAGGGGTCTCTCCAGCTGTGAGAACCGCCCATTCATCGAAAGCGGTCGAGGGTCTCACAGCCTGTCTTCAATTTGATTGACAGGTCTGTAGTCCAATGAGAGCTCGCCAAATCGTGACTCACCATTCGTCCTTTGCCAATGGAAGCTCGGCGGAGAGGCGGACTGCAGGAAGCACACTTGGTTGAATGACCATTAAAGCAGCAATCAGCGGTAAATGTGTTATGATGCCACGCTCAAAACACACACCGAGAGGATTGTCCGAGGCTGCGGGAACACGACACCTCTCCACCGGGTAGAAACGGAGTGAAACGCGGCACGGCTGCTGCGGACTGTCTGTGCGCCAAGGAGTCTGGCTACAAATCAAACCAGGAGTCGCTCTCTGGGGATTTGGGCAGTGATGGACAGCTGTTGGGACATTGCTTCGGGGCAGAGGTTGGCGATAAATTGACCGTGCATTAACACAGGCTGCAACATGGAGCATGGAGCTGTTTTCTGCAGGACGAGCAGCGGCTGACTTTCCCCTCCGATCAGGATCGTGATGATGCTTTTTATGGTGAGAGGCTCCCCCCTCCGTCCAGCCTGCATGTTAGGACAGTGCAGGTGCATCGAGACTTGACGGGACCAGCAACCATGGGATTCACCTTTTTTATTTCCCTCCGTCTTTTTGTATGGCCGCAAAGCCTTTCTATGCGGGAAACATGTCCGCAGATACAGGGTTCACAGCGTAATTGATGGTGTTGCGCCATGATCTCTGGGGGACTATCTGAGTTGTGTAATGGTTTTATTTCCTCTATAGGCTACAGCGCGCTCTGACGTGCAACCCCTCCATGGATGGTGGTTAATTGGGCCCAATGATGTAGAGCCAAATCCACCTGGAGTGGCTCCCCTGTGTTTCTACGCATGTTCAATTGTTTTTTTTAATTAATTCCCAGAGCTTTTCAGCACTATTGCTTTGGATAATCTCATCTAGTTTGGATTTTTAGATGAAAATGAGAGATTAAATGAAGGCAACAACTATGGAAAATCCAACGTTTGAAAGATTTATAATCTTTGGAACTTAATCGTTTCCTGACATTCAGCAACTTTATTCCCCGCAGCATTTATTTATAGAGGCACATTTCTGTCTGTTGCCTCCTTTTTATCCACCATGTCTAGATCAAACAGTGTCAGCCCACCCGGCGTCGGTGCCCCCGGGTTGAGGGGAGGGACCGAGCACAGATCAGCTTGGGGAGAGTCTGAGTCCGTGGCCAACGGGTGCCCATACTCAGCCAGATCCCCGCGCAAGAAGCTCACCCGGACCAACAGTCGGTGGAGGGAGGAGGATGACCTGGAGCACCGGCAGCCCGGCGGGCGAGCCACCACCACCACCGTCAGTAGGGTCAGCTTCAGGTCCAGGTCCGCTTGGCAGGACCATGGCGAGGACAAAAACCGTGCGTCGTCCCCTAAGCGTCCAGACGGCGAGGTGAGACCCAAGTCTGTGGAGTTAGGACTGGATGAGCGCAGGGCCAAGGCGAGGAGCGACGAGGAGGAGGTCATGCCCGAAGTAAACTTTTCCTTAGTGGCGTGCTGCACCAGCGTTATGCACATTTTCAAATCCAAGAAGTTCCAGTCGGAGAAGTTGGAGCGGCTCTACCAGCGCTACTTTTTCCGGCTGAACCAGAGCAGCTTGACGATGCTCATGTCGGTGCTGGTGCTGGTGTTCACGGTCATGCTGAGCTTCCACTGCTCCGGTGGCCCAGAGAAGCCCAGCGTGACGTTCGCGGTGGTGTTTCCCGTGGCCATCTTCCTCACCCTGGTTCTCATGGTGGTGTGCAACAGGAACGCGTTTCACCAGGACCACATGTGGATCGTGTGCTACGTGGTCATCCTGCTGGTGATGGTGATCCAGGTGATCGGAGTGCTGTTCGTTCGGCCCAGAAGTGCGTCGGAGGGCATCTGGTGGACCGTGTTCTTCATCCATGTCATCTACACGCTGCTGCCCGTCAGGATGCGCGCAGCAGTCGTCACTGGAGCTATTCTTTCTGCCATTCACGTGGCTGTTTCTTGGATGTTAAACGACATTGACAGCTTTCTCTGGAAACAGGTATGTGATGAGCTTTCTTTCTAATGATCTCTCTCTCTCTCTGTGCGCAATAACGCACAGCAGAGCTTTGGGCACTTCCTTTAAAGTTCCCTGCTGCTGCTCAACTTGTTGATGCTTAACAGTCAAATAGGATCAGAAGCAACTGTGACCAGCAGTGTGTAGAGGTGGGAGAAGTACTCAGATCTTGTGTAAAAGTAGAAATACTCAGATCTTGTACTTGAGTAAAGTAGAAGTACCAGAGTGTATGAATAGTAAAAGTATTGCAATCAAAATGTTACTCAAGTAAAAGTACAAAAGTATTGGCATCAACATTTACTTAAAGTACCAACAGTTAAAGTACTCGTGCAGATTGGCCATTTCAGAATAGTATTGAGAAGTTGGGACATTGTTTTCCTCCACAGTAGCATTGTTGACAGTCATTTACAAGAGTTACAACATTTCTTACAAATAGAATAGAATAAAATAAACATGAAAAGAAAACATTTACATATAAATTACACATGTACTGAAGAGCATCTACGAATACACATAATAAAATATACAGAATACATTTGAATTCTCCCTGATATACCAATTGAATATGATTATAATTATTGATGCATGAAAGTGTTCTCAAAGCTGCTAAAGGTGCAGCTAGTTTCAATGACTTTGTATACTGCAGGGTAGCTTGTGAATTTACTCCAGGTGGAACTAAAGTCTGATTTATATTTCACATCATTCATCCACATCTGTAAAGTAACTAAAGGTATTAGATACAAAACAATTTATTGAATTGTATTGGAGTAGAAGTACAAAGTAGCACAAATCTGAAATATTCAAGTAAGGTACAAGTCTCCCAAAATTGTACTTGCTTGAGTTAATCTATGTTACACCACTGCTAGTACTTTAATAAGTAGCTTGTTCTGTATTAGCTGATCTAATGGGCAGTGGAGAAATGTTGCTGCAAAAACCGCTCCGTACAGACTCTTAAAAAGGCTAAAATGACAAAGTGACACCACCTCCTGCTGCAGGGTTAATTCCTCACACCACTTTAAGGGTCACTTTTGTGTGTATTAAGTGTCTGAGTTCTTGGAGAGGGGAAGGTTTTTGCCACTTGTTTGGAGTGAGGTCATTTAAAACAAGTAGGCTTGAAACATCTAATTAAATGTGGTCTGACCGAGGTTAGCTGAACCACACTTGGGTTTTAAAATGGGCAATCTCTTTTGTACTTCAGTGGAGGTTGATTTTAAGTATTTATTTTTGAGTGAAAATGGTGGAATTGTGCTTAGAGTTCATGAGTCTGGAGTGTTGTTGTTGATGCATTTACGTTAAAGTTTATATATCGTATTCATTTGACCAACATTTGTTTCTATCGTGACATACTCTAGGCCTATATTTACTCGAATATTTTTGTTTGCATAGTTCCATTCTTTGTGTGTCGCCACAATTTGTAACACATATATATAAATATTACAATACTTGTATCACTGGGAATAAGCTCCATCACTATTGTGTTAACTCCTTTTATGATATGCTGACTTAACAGACATTTACTTGAATGAAAATCCTCAAATTTGCCTCTTTAAGTGTAGATTCTGTCTGATAGTTTTAGTACTAACCTAACAGCATTCAGGCAAACTCATGGTCATGTGCACTTTGGCTGACCAGCGAGGCATTTAGTGGAAACTAGTGCAGAAAAGATGCTTGGAAAAGCCCCTAAGGTCTTATCAACTCCTTAAGTAAATACAAAAAAAAGACATTCAAGTGCAGCATAAAATAAACAGTTTCCTTATATACAGTTGACTCTTTAACAAACATTAATTAATTAGCATTGCGCTACAGTGTTTTGTAGACAAAGACTTTACTATGGGATGTACTGTATCTGCTGGTTGCTATGGAAACTTTGTCAGCTGGCTTGTTGCCCCTCAGGCTGCAGAAGGCTATATGTTTTGCACACAAGTACCCCTCTCCCTCTCTCTACTTTATATATTACACTGTAAGATATTCTTGCATTTAGATGGAGTTTCCTAGAAACTATTAATCACAGACTCTCTCAGAGACAGTTGTGCTGTTTACAGGGAACGAAACGGGTTGTATCGGCTACTTTTCTCTTTCGTATAGCCCGTTCGTTCACACGAGGCCGTAACAGAACCGCGGAAACGGACCCCGCAAATGGGATAACAGGTCCCAAGGTGGATAGATCTGCAACCGGAACGCTCTGGGGGCCAAACGGCTCAGTGTGTACGCCCTATACGATCATTTCCTGATAACGATGAAGCCATAGCTACTGACAGTAGCTACTGATGTTAGTGCAAAAATCTACAGCTCCTCTACCACAACCATCAGCAACAAGTGGACATGGAGAACTACATGAACTACATGTTGCTAAATCCACCACAGAGAATAAACAGAAGGGCAACCAGGCAACCATGCTCAGGGGTCTTCTTCGCTGCTTTTGGTGTATTTTGTGGCGGAAGTACAGCGCCACTTACAGGCCCGGCATATGTACTACAGCTTCTCCAGCGGGTCGAGCGGTCTCGTGTGAAGGGACACGTTTATTGAGCCGTATCCGTGTGAACGGAAGACTTTTTTGATATCGAATTCGGTTCGCTTGCGTTCCCGTGTAAATGGGGCCAGTAACTTTCTTATACTTGACTGTAATTTGGAGGCATTTGTTAGATTGTAAATTATATAAAAAGGAAGGTCTGAAGTTTGTCCGTCGCCACCGAAAGTCAGATTGTTGTCATAAGGACTGTGATATGGCCATATACTGTCCAAATTATATAAAAATGTTGTATCATATATATTTTACCATATTGTTCCTCTTGTTACTTTCGTTTGCAAATATTCAGTTTCTATGTATCATGTATTTTTTATTTGACTAACAAAAACACACTTTACCATGTGGTTATTTCGTACTGAAAATGTTCTTGAAGTAGGAGTAAAAGTACTCATTACAGAAAGAAACAACAACTCTGGATGATAAATATTTAAAATGAAAATCAGAAAGTCTTCACATTTATCCTGCAGCTGATCAATCAATCAATGTTTATTTATATAGCCCAATATCACAAATGTTACATTTGTCTCAGTGGACTTCACAGTGTGTACAGGATATATGTATGACAATACGACACCCTCTGTCCTTAGACCCTCACAAACTTCCAGAGAAAACCCACAGTTTAAAGGAAACATGGGAGAAACCTCAGGGAGAGCAACAGAGGAAGGATCCCTCTTCCAGGACGGACAGACGTGCAATAGATGCCGTGTGTAAATCGAAGAGATAATACATTTTACAGCATATAGACCGAATGTTAGGAAATGCATGTGTCTGTAATAAGAAGATGAATCCACGAGGATGTCAGCAATCCTGTGGGAGCCATCAGGGAAGTAGTATGATGAGTCAGGCAGGACCGCAGAGACAGGTTCAGCCACGACTCGAAGTCCAGGACTCAGATCCAGTACTCAGGATAGAGGATCCAGGACACAGGACTACAGCAAGAGGATTAGCCTCGACTCAGGATCCCGGCGTATATGGAGACACATATCACATGAGATATGTGTCTCCACCTTTTTAACGCTGACCTTAAAGCAGGTTTCCAAACACAGATATGATTCATATTTACATAGTGCTTGTTTTATTATGAAGTGAAAGGGCAAACTGCAGGATAAATACCTGAACTTTAAGTTGTTTTGGTTGTTTGCCCTAAGCTTTGGAAAGACTGATTCCAGGTTGTTTATTTTTCTTTATCTGGGCTTGTAATGAACTTTCAGTGGATGGTTTCAGGGGAGAGTTTTAATGTGCTGCTGCTTAGTCTACATGTTCCTTATTAACTCCAAATGCCCCTGGTATTTGTTTTACAACATCAATACCGCTTTCAAAACATTTCTCCAGGGCTGCTGGACTTAGTCTGTAATAAAGGTGCTTACCTAAATGACTTTAATTTTCCACCATTATTTAAAGGTACACTTAATTGCATGGTACAAAGTGTGTGTGTGTGTGTGTGTTTCTGTGTGTGTGTGTGTGTTTCTGTGTGTGTGTACATTATTCTTTTGGCTGCTCACAAATGTAACTGTAATTATCAGGCCATGTGCTGCTTGTAAACTTTTTCTCTAACAATGTGGCTCTTCTAGAGTATTATACCCCTTGGACTCCTTTACTTCTGTTCCATAGTGACATCATTTTGTAACACTTGTGCTTCTATTGGCTAGCGCTCCAACACATTGTACGTGATAGGCTAAGGGGCCAATCTCTAAGAGGTTGACCAATCACAACAGAGCCGGCCAGCTAACCAATCGGAGCATGGAGCCATGTCACAGTAGAGACTTAAACAACTAATATGGAGCAGACTGGGCTCTGGTTTCAGACAGAGGGTGAAATGAGGTGCTCTTTAATATATATATTCTCTGAAAATAGAAAGAATTGTCCCACAGTATATCTGGACCTGTTATGTATCCAACTTTACAAAAAAAATGGTTGAGTTGCCGTTTGAAAACCCTGTGAAAGTACATGAACAGTCACAACTTTGTCACATGGTGAAAGGATTCTTACATCCTTTTTGCTTCTTCTTGGAATCTAATGTTTGGTTTCAGAGCTAAAACCCCAGCTGATGGTTTAGTTCTGTGTGAAAGGCATGTGACCCTGCATCTATTTGTATTTCTGCGAAAGCCACATTGTCATTCGATGTGAGTGTGTGGGAACGAGCTCCTGTATTTGTTGTTCTTTCCTCACCATGCTGTTGTTTTTAGCATATCTGTTTACATAGGAGCCGGCACGTCCCTCTGTTAGACCGCTGCTGCTATGGGAGATCCCAAGATAACAACGTTTCTTGTGTATGTGTTACCAGGACTATGCTGAGTTTTTCCCCAAGTCTTTGGAAAAGCACTCAACCTTGTGATCTTTCATCTGTTTTAGCCTGAAGGGTTGTTCCGGAAATCAAAACCCTGCAAAGCTAGGACAAGGATTTCTCTTTCTTTTTCAACTTTCATACAGGTGAAGTTTTGTTTTTAAGTGATACAGC